TGTGCCCTGCCCAAATCCCTGACCCACAAAACTGACACGTATCAAAAAAGGTCACTTTATGCCATGAGGTTCTGGGGTGGCTAGTTACGTGACCGTAGTACCAGGCATGGCTGGTGACTGGTGAGTTGGAGCCGAGGTGAGGGCCCTCTGACCCCCCGTCTAGTGCTCTGTTGGCTGCATCCACTGTCCCTCCATCCGGACAGCCTCAGCCCTGTGAAGTAAGCCCACGTGAGGTATTTATTCTTATTCCCATTTCACCAACGAGAAAACTGAGGCCCAGAGGAATCCGTTGTCCAAGGTCCCCAGCTTGAAAGTGCTGGAGCCAGGCCCGGAACTCAGGTCTGCCTGACTCCAAAGCAGGGCTTTTCCCCACTGGGCAGTCAAAGAAGGAAGGCAGGAAGGTGTGTCGGAGAGCAGTCCTGAAGGTATGGGCTGAGATTTTCCATGGACTGGCTCCACTGCCAAGGAATCTTCAGAGAAAACCTCTCAGTTGGTTCAGCCACGTGGAGGCGGAGCTAACAAGATCTGGAAATGTCTTCACCGGTTCCAAGGCACACACAAACATCGCTTGCCTTCTCTTGGGGTCAACGTTCTTTATGATTTCTGCTCTCCAGGAAAATGTGAGTTCATTTGTATAAACTAAACATTACATACGTGGGGGAAAACCGAAAACGTGGCATTCCTGGCCCTTTTTCTCCCCAGACAAGAAACTGAGAAGGTTTCTCCACGTCCTTTCTCACAGTCTATCTGTTGGTGGAGCTGCCAGCATGGCCACTTCCCAGGGGTGGAGAGTGGGATGCGGGGGCATCACAGAGATGAAGGGCACAGCCTCAGCTCAGGGACCACTTCGAAACTAACCTAGGCCCCGGGGTCCCAAGACCAGGGCTGCTTCCAACGCTGGAGCCAGCAACTCCCGTGCTGGGCTCGGTGGGCTAAGGGGGAAGCTGGCACAGCAGTAGAGAGGGGTCTGGGTGCTCACGCTGGCCTCTAGGGGCTCCTGTGTGCCCTGCTTGCCCCTCACGCCTTCCGCTGCCTGCCTCCCCCACTAAAGCATGAAGCCCAAGAGGGCAGATCTTTGCCTGGTTCCACCCGGTGCCTGGCTCGCAGTCGGCCCTGGCACGTGATGTCTTGAGTGAACAAATGAATCTTGGGGCCTTTCCTCGGCAGGTGTGGGGGTGCCCTGTGGCTGGAAAGGGCCCAGGGCTGTAGCTCCAGCCCCCTCCAGAGGAGCCGAGGGAGGCCGCGTTCCTCCCATTCCTGGGACTGCAAGAGGCACATTCCTGTCCCCGGGCCTGGTCGGGCTCCTGCCACGCAGCCCAGTCTAATTGCCAGACGGGGAAGGCCTCCCTGGAGCTGCCCCTCTGGTCTCGCCCTCCATGGGACCCCAAGCCTGTCCCCTCCGTCATCTGGAGGCCAAGGGTGGGAAGCCGGGACCCCTAAGTACGTCTGAAGCCTTCCAGACACTCCTGGGCCCTCTGGTGATCAATGAAAACTTAACATCCTGCTTCCAGGGCTGGAGCCAGGGATTTGGAGAGTCGGTGGCAGCCACTCCCGTGAGCGGGGACTGCTGCACTGTGTGAAAAGTGCCGGCGTCAGCACTTCCTGGGGAGGGAGTGCGGAGTCAGCAGTCAGCCGGCCGCGCCGGAGCTGCCTCCGGGAACCAGGTGCCCACAGGGCCCAGCGAGGAGCCCAGAGGCCGGGGCTGAAGGGCGAGGGCAGGCGACTATCCCTACTGCCCCGCAAGCCAGGCTCCGGGAACTCCAGGCTGGCTCCTCACCTCAGGGGCCTTTTGGGTGGGTGGGGAAGGCAGACGCGGTGCAAAGGAGCACAGAACTGTCTAGTTTCCACAGGGGAGGTGCTGTGGAGGAGCACGGAGAGCTGCAGAGGGTACAACACACGGTGACGAACTGGAAGAGGCCAGGGAGTGCGTGATCGAGGCTTTGCAACCCATACACAGGGCCTCTGACCCAACCTCTACTCTGCCACCCTGGTGTGCAGGCAGCCAGTACACCAACAGCCCTGCTCCAGTGCAAGAACTGGGTGGACTGGACTAGGGCCTCCGTGCGCCGCCCCCATCCGCTCCGTGTGTGTAACTGGGGGCCTGACCTGCCTGGAGCGGGTGGGAGTGGGCTGGAGGAAAGGCCTCCCTGAGGCAGTGACGTTTTGCTAAAACCTGAAGGAGGATTCAGTGCTGGGGCAGAATCATAATATTGTCAATCATAACGTTGTCCTAATAAAGTTACCCTTGGACAGTGTGTTCTGTTCGGCACTGGATAAGTGTTTTACACACGTGATCTCAATGAAGTGCCACACAACCCTGTGAGGGAGGTATTAATACGTCCACTTTATAGGTGGAGAAACTGAGGTTTGGCAGATATGTGTGTGTTCCATCCAACCCTTCAGACGCTTTCTTTGCCCTGCTTGGTGCCTTGGGAGGCTGACCCCTTGAGAGCGCCCCTTGGCTCACTCACTCCAGGCTTCTGATGGGGTTTGGCCCATGGGAGGCTCAGGCAGCAGACGCAGGGGGAGCGCAGAGGAGAGAGAGGTCAAGGCATTTCTTCCCCCTCCGCCCTCTGGCTTCACCTCCACTACCACAGCTATCGGCAAGCTGACCATCCTCCAGGATTCAGCAGTTGTCAGAGCTGCAGCACGATTTCTCCCCATGCCCTTCAGCCTAGAAGTGCTGGGCGCCTCACTGCCCTTTGTGTGAAGTGTTTAGTCCTATTTCCAATTCCCCTTCATTAAGTCTCTTCATGTGAGTCATCAGGGGGCAATCCTGTTTCCTGCCAGGATTCTGACTGATACTAGAGGTTAGTTAACCTGCTGGGTTCTGGTTTCACGTGGCTAATGAACAACAGATCCAGGTGGAGGTGATGGTGGACACGATGGAAGGAGAGTCTGGCTGAATCTGGAGGTTGGACCAGGGCCTGGGTCCCAGCTCCCATTCCTGGTTTCCACCACAGGCTGGGGTCAAAAGTGAGTGCGGCTGCTCCTTCCCTGCCCCTGGGCTCAGCGAGTGGCCTGGGTCTGGAGGCCCCCAGTGAACAGTGTCAGTTTTCTGAGCAATGGGAGCTGGTGGCGCTTGGTGCAGACCTGGGCTGGGGCAGGAAGGCACTGGCCCATGAACCCTCTGGCACTATCTGGAGGGTGGAAACCAAGTGTGGCCGCTGGGACTTGCTGGCACCTGGGGAAGGCTGGAGATGCGGTCAACCTGTTAAGCTGTATTAACCAGACAGGACACAGAGGCCTGTTATTCAGACTCATGTGGAGGAGACTCAGGAGGGGAGAACACTTGGTGTCAGAGCTCAATCTCTGCTCCAGAATTCTGGCATGCTCTCCTGAAGAAATTATCTTGAGTGGTTGGTGTTTCCTATTGTTCCTTCTGTGGCCTTAAACAATCACTTTAGAATCCTGCTGCTACCTCCCACGTCCCTCTGATGGGGTCCCTGCCTCCGTCCACCCAGAGGCCAGGTGTAGCTGACTGAGCATCAGGAGGGAACAGGTGACTGAGCGAGGGAAGGTGTTCTAGAATAGGGGCAGCGCTGAGAAGGCAGAGGCCACACCAGCGCCAGGAGCTCCTCCTGGTCACCTCTGCTGGTGGGCCACCTGCCACGTGTGGAAGGCAGTGGAGTTGGGAGGAGACTGCAGAAGGTATTTTCAGATGCAGCTCGTGGAGCCCTCTGAAAAATCAAGCTTAGACCAGGACTGTCTCTTGAGGTGTGGACAGCAGCACTTCCCAAGGCTGTGTGGAGCCACCAGTATCTCCATCTACTAAGTTACCATGGGACCCCGGGAGGCTGGGGGCAGGGTCCAGCCTGCACAATGGAGCCAGGAGAGGCTGGAAAAGGTAAGGAGCCTGGAGGAAACTCCGGCAGTCAGGACAGAGGCCTGGCTTGCTGAGGCTCATGAGAGGCTACAAAACCACCTCTTGCAAGCTCTGTGGTCCCAAATCCAACAGCAGAGGTGACTGCTGCCGTGGCCTGGCTCCAGAGAGTGGCTTGAACAGGTCACAGCCTGGGGGTGGCACGACACCAGGCAGCAGCCTGCAGCAGCACCCCCCTCACCGAACACTCCCTGGCTGTCAGACTCTATGCTGCATGCTTTCCGAACAGCATTTCAATTCTGACGTTTCAGAGATTCTGGGATAGAAAACTTATTATTCCCATTTTACGCATAATGAAACTGAGGCCCAGAGAGTGTGAAGTTGCTTGTCCAAGATGGCAGTGTCTCAGAACCAGGTCAGTGTCACCCAAGCTCAAACCAAGAGGAGGAAGTACAGTTAGAACCCTGCCCTCAGCCTGGCCCCTCCCGGGGCAGCAGCAGAGGTCAGCCCCTGTGGCGACACACATACACTTCCCCAACATGCACACGTGGACAGAGTGCTTTAGTGGCGTGGCCCTGCCCAGGCAGCACAACCCTGCAAGGTGAGTGCTCGTAACACCTCCGTTTTGTGGGTGAGGGCACTGAGGATTGGAGAAGTAAAGTGGCAAAGCTAGGAAACAGCACAGCTCAAGTTAGACTTCAAAGTTTGTGCCCCTAATTTCTAGGGACACTGTGTGTGTCTCATATATGTGGATAAAACTGATGCTCTGAGAAGGTGAGCCATCTGTGGATGGTGGCACCAAATACTCCAGGCATCCTGTGCACCCCTCCAGGGCTCGTCAACATGAGCCGGGCAGCAGGCCCGATCATAGGGTCCGGGGGACCTATAGAAGATGCTGGGGTTTTCTCTACCCTGTGCGTGCCCCCAACCTGGGGTTCTGATTTTGCCTCTCTAGGGTCTCAGGCTCTTCCAGGGGGCCCCAGCCCAGGTGTGTCCCACAGGGGCCCGGTGTGATCAGAAGCCTGGGCAGGCTGGCGTGGGAGAGCTGTGAGCAGGGACGGCTGAGTCTGCCAACCTGCAAACTCAACGCTGCCCTTTGGCTCCACAGGCAAGGCCAATGCCGGCATTCTCGCTTGGGCTACTAGCGAGTCTGCCCCCACTTGAGTGGTTACGGTACCTGCAAGATCTTCCTTGGAAGACACTAGTCTTGGGGAGCTGCTTCCTGGTTCAATTCTGAGAGACAGTCTGAAAACAAAGATTTTCAAAAGATTAGATGGGCTCTGGTATATCGGAGGGGAAACCAAACTTGTGCATGTTTGGAATTGAGAAACTGGATTGTCATTAAGGGCTATTACAGTCACGGAACCCAGGAATACTTTGAAGTCTGCTCCAGATCACAGCCACCTCCTTCCAAAGTCCCCAGGGCCTTTCCATGACCAAGAAATGATGATTAAGGAAGACACAGTAAACAGTGTAGTCACGGCCCATCATCTGCAGGCACAAATGCGTTTATTCTCAAGACAACACTGTGAACTAGGTACACTATCCCTGTCTTACAGATGAAGAAACAAGGAGTAGTGAGGTCACGTAGCTTCCCCACAACTCATAGGGCTGACGAGTGGCCGAGCAGGGGATCAGAATGGTCTGACCCCAAACCAGGGTGTGTAACCATCACACTGCCCTCTCTCATGCCCCCAGAGAGGCGCAACGCAGTGGATACACCATGAGGATTGGCATCACAATATTATTACTATTTTTAAAAAGCTATCGATTAAGAACTTCTGGGTGAAGATGACAAAGTGAAGCCAGATGCCAGACTCTCCCTCTTTCAACAAAACCAACAAACAATGATGAAGGCTTAGGAGGGAGAGTTCACTAGCTGCTACCTAGCAGGGGTGGGGGCAGAAACTGAAGCCATGAACTTTAGAAACGTGGAGCCAAGGAAAGAAAAAGAGGATTCTGAAGTCTGGCCAAGAGTTGTAACGGGGCACGGCTCCTACCCTGCCTACCCTCCGAGACTTCTCAGCGGGCCTAAGAGAGAGTCCTTACCTTTCCCTCCTCAGACTGGCTCCAGATTCTGCAGAGAAATGGATGGCGGGGTGGATGCTCTGATGGAAATGAAGGCTCCACGGCGGTGGTGGGGACGATTTGAAACCTGAGCGTACCCCTTTCTGGAGTGGAATACAGCCCCCAACTACGTGGAGGAAACACTGATGTCGGACTCTTAACAGAGCCCCCATCTTTCAAACAGACTGCATGACCCCTGTCTCCAGGGAGCCTGAGCCCTGCGTCCCCCCCAGGCTGCACGAGAGGACCTCACAGCACAGCAGAAGGAAAACCGGCCCACCTCACACATGGGAGCAGGGTCAGATGTCGTCTCCCTCCATCCGAGCCACGGAGCATCCGGATAAAGCCTCTCCCACAGGAGCAAGACGAAAAGAAATGATAAGGCAAGCGAGCAAACATCCCCTCATGCCATGAGGAAAGGGGAAGGGACAGAGCATTGTCCAGACGGCTCAGGCCAGAAGGCCGCCCCAGGGGACACGAGGACATCCCCTCAAGTGCTCTGAGCAGCGGAACAACTTCTTTAGAACACGAAGTGAATAAAATAAACCTGAAAAATGAGGTGTTGTGACAAAGGAGTAAGATGAAAGGGGAGACTGGAGACCCAGGGGAACAAATCAGGAACTGAAACAAGAGCGGACTGGAGGGATACCTAAGGAGAAACAGATCATCCCAGTGACAGCTGATGAAAAAGGTGGAGATCACAGCCCTTGGAAAGAAGCTGATGGATGTGAAAGGTGGAGGGCATCCAACGTATGGAGTCCTGGAATGCCGGAAAGAGAAAAGCCAAGAAGTGGCACCGAAGAATAGTCAAAGATAGAAACCAACAGAATTCCTCTGCGGTGAAGAAAGAGCATTCCATGTTCCAGGGAAATCTGGTACAGAACCCTCCAAGGAGGCATTCCCCTTGTTAAGCTTTTGAACTTCCAGGAATTCTTCACCCAGCAGGTAGACAAAACAAGCCACTTACAAGAGGAAAAAGCCAGACTGGCTGAAGGCTTCTCTGCAGCAGCGCCTAGTGCCCAGTGCCCGAAGGCAGTGGGGGCAGACTCTGCACATCACGAGGGACAGAAGCAAAGGAGTCCAGCGAGTCAGATGCAGATGTTTTCATGAAAGAAATCTGAACGGACAGGACCATGAAAACCTGCTTCATGATGAAACCCAGCTAAATGAGGGATTGCTTTAAAATAAAGATTCCAGAAAGCTGTGGAGAAACAACAGGTGGTAAGAATTGAAACTGTTTAAAAACACTAAACAGTAGGAATTACGATTCCTGAACATGATGCATATGTGATAAACGTGGACTATGTAGAAATGGTAAGATAACTAACAAGGAATTGGAAGATGCTGAAGGGGAGGTGAAGGAGGGGACGCTAATACCTCATAGTTTGTGACCCAAGTCAGCGGACCCTGCTCACCATGGAAATCTAATCAGCACAGAACTTCGAGACTCCAACCTCTTCATGGTTTTCCTGCCCTCTTTTGTCAATTTTAGAGGGATCTTTTAGGAAATGCTGTCACTTGCAGTGGAGAAATATTTATTTGAAGAGCAGCAATTGTTTATGTTTTATTTTGGTTCCTTTTTCTGGCTAAAGTAGAAATTAAATGAATACTTTAATTAGAAATAGCAAGTGCAGTATAATCCAATTTTAATAAATTGTATTCTTGCATCCATCCATCGATCTGTCGTTCTCCATGTATATATGTGCACTTTCTCTGCATAGAAAAATGTCCAAAATAATGTTCATTTAATGCTAACAGTCATGTTTTCTAAGAGGTAGGAGTTTGGGTATTTTTCTTAAACAAACAAACAAAAAATAGACTGAAGGCTGAGAAAAACAAAGCACTGTTTGGGCTCCTCGGCACAATGTCTCCAAAGCAGATTGGGGTGGGGTCATCAAGGTAAGAACTTAGCCCGCGTCCTTTGGGATGGGGACCAAGTCTCCTGGTGTGAGCTGGGCCTTGGAGTGTGGGTTCCTCAAGCAGAGTCACAATCCCTGCGAGTCCCGTGTCACTCAGAGCCAAGGCTTTCCCAGGAAGGGACTTCCTCAGTGGTCTAGGCCCTGGGGTGAGAACGCAGCCTTCCTCCCCGGGTCTGTCCTCTTATAAAGGGCTTTTGTAAAATCCAGGCTGACTGTCGTTTAGCATTAAGTGCTGGGGGTTTTCAATATCCTTCAGAATGGAAGGAGTAATTACTCACGATCTGTAGCCTGTCCAAGGATTATCTCATGATCAGACATATTTATAGACCGTTTTTCTCCTTAAAGGATATTAGTGTTAATGAAAAACTACTGTCTCTTTAATCGCATTACTGGCACATGAATGGAAAATATTATCCCAGAACCTCAGTGGGAATAATTTCACACTCTGGGGTACTCTTTTCAGGAACAGCAAATGCTTTGTAAGTAAAATGAGCCATTTGTGGCAAACATAATTTGAATGGTAACCTCTGGCCTTCATTTATTTTTGTTATGATTATGTAGTAGATCAAAAATTTTTATATTCTGTTTTTAAAGAAATATTGCACAATAACAACTAAAGGCATTATGTCTGTGTTCCTCCAGGTAACCAATCATTAGAACCATCTAGGGAGCTTTGAAAAATACAGATTTCCAGGCCCTACCCCAGACACCTGGGTGGCTAGAAGGCTTCCTAGGTGTCTCTGACTCACAGCAGGGCTGAGATCCACCTTGTGGAGCCACCAGATGCGCAGCCATGGGAACAGCGATTCCCAAGGGCCTGGTGAGTGAAAGGAGTAACCTGGGGGGGGGGTCCTCTAGTGGCCCCAGTTCTTTACAGTTTTCAATGACTTAGACGGAGACCAAGTTATCAAGCTGATCAAATTTTTAGACACAAAATTGGAAGAGATTTTAAAAACCTGAAAGATATATTGGATACTGGGATTCAAGGGAGTCATGGTTTATTGGAAGAGACCAAGACGATGAGATTTGAAGGGATACATATGAAGTTGATATTTAGGGGGAAAATGATCAATTACAAGATGTTTGAGGCTTGCTTGGATATATCCACTGGCCATTTGAAAAGTACTAGGGCTCTTGGTTGACCTCAAGCTCAACATGAGCCAAGAAGACATCCAATCAACATGGCAGACAGACTCAATATGAAAAATCCTCCTTCTCTCTCTAAATACACAGAAATGCTGGATAAATTCCCAGGTGCCACAAATGAAGAAAGAACTGAAAGCCAGAGCAGGGGGGTGGGAGATGAGGCCAAAGGGACCACAGGGGTCTTCATGGGAACAGGGTCTGTTCTACATGGGCTGCAGGGGATGGAGATGGGGCCTCGGCCAGTGCCAGGTGGCAAGAGTCCAGCAGAAGGCTGGGGCCCTGGGGAGCTGCCTCATCCATGAAACAGGCTCTTGGAGAACTCTGGCAGCCTGAGATACAGCTAGGAAGCTGCCCTTCCATTCAAAGCTGTGAGTGGAGGGAGTCACTCGTGAGGACCTGGAGCACCAACCCTGCACCACATACAGCTGTGGAGTCCAAATTCACACTACCCACTTGAAAAGCCACGCTGGAGAGCCCACGTGGAAAGCCACCCTGAGGAGTTCCCAGAACACCTTCCTGGGTACAGTGGAGCCTGGGGCTGGGGCAGGGGTGGGTGGGAGGAGAGGCTGAGCAGCCCCGCCATGGGCTCTGTGGGGTCCAAGGTCATCTTATTGCACATGCTTGCGTGTAGTGGGGTGTGGGTGCCGCCGCAATGGCCTTGTGTAAGCCCTGCAGGGGGCAACCTGCTGGTCCCAGCAAGGACGAGGTGAGAGGCGGACACTTACTTGTAGTTGTCGTCTTCCACAAACTTCTGGAGCTCTTCGATGTAGCGTACAGACTTCAGGTACTTCTGCACGTGGGGCAGGGTTGTGAGGTGATCTGCAGAAGGTGGACAAAACCCACAGGCTTCAGTCTCTCCCCTTCTCCTGGCCCCAAGTGAGAAGGGTGGGGATCACAGATTTTGGCAAGAGAGGCTCCTTAGGTACTGAGCTCCTTAGGTTGCTGATGGTCCCTTAGGCCAGGCCTGTGCTTGGCACTGGGCACATAGGGGTCCTGTGAGAAGTGCCCCCCACAATGGTTGGGCTGCAGACCCCACACCCTGAGGTCACCATGGTTCCTTGGCTGGGGGAAGATGGGTCTTGGGGAAACATAGCCTCCAGAAGAGACTAGAGCCAGGTGTGTGTGCCCTAAAACAGGTTTCCACTGGAGTAACTGGGCATGCCTCCCATGCCTGCCCACCCCCCATGTGATAAGAATCCAAGAACGAATGAACCCCATCCAGCCTGGTGTGGAGGCCCAATCCAGATCCCAGCACCACCTGCAAGTCCGGCCCACCGGCTGGAGCTGCTGTGTCCTGAGAAGAAGGGGAAAGGCCTAGACGCTTGAGCACCTGTTCTGTACCAGGCTCTGCACCAGGCGATTTCTAGAAGGCGTCTGCTTCCACCTTTGCACCTGCCTCATTTAGGGGAATAAGATGCCCACTGCACAGAGGAAGGAGCCATGGCAACCTGCAAGGTCACATCATTGAGAAGTGGTGGAGCCAGGTTTTGACCCTGGGTCACCTGAGGCCATACTGCACTGTCTCCCTGTCCTGGATTGACTGACATCAGCTGCTCTCCCCAGACTGTCATGGTCACTGCACTCCTTCTGAGGGGCTGAAAACCCTCCATGACCCTCTGTTGTTCTGGGACAGAACCAGTTAAAGAGAGAGGTGGAGGCAATGGAGGAGGCTGTGAAGAGGAACAGAAAAGAGGGTGGGGAAGGGCCCTCGCTTTCCTGGGCCCGGTGGCAGGGCGTCCAGGTGCTGCGAGGAACACCTGATGGCTCTGTCTTGCAACTGCGAGATTCTCCGTGGGTCACTTTGTTTGTCTAGCGCCTCAGTGTTCTCATCTCTGAAATGGGGATAATGACACCTGCTTCAGGAATCTGAGGATGAGGAGGGTGCAGGTGGACATAAAACAATAAGAGTGAGCGTTTACTGAGCTGTAATGAAATGCTGGGATGCGCACAGGGCTCTGCGCACATCACACCCTTGTCTTATAGATGTGAACACCTCAGATTCGGAGAGGAGAAAGTGACTTTGCAGGAGGCAGAGATGAGATTTGAACTCACATCTGTCTGGCCCCAAAACCGTGTCTGTAACTGCTCTGAGGGCCGGCAGGACCAGTGTTGAGGTACTGGTGTGGAAAGGGCACTGGGAACACAGTCCCCTCCCTGCCCCTCTGTTAGAAGGCATACTGGTCTGGAGGTGCAGACCTCACCCCACCCCGTGGTGCTTGTGGAGGGCTCATGAGTGGACCTTCTGCTTCTGTGGACCTCCTTGTGGGAACATCACCCTGGCCTCCCAGTGGCCTTCCCAGCCGGCTATTGGTTTCTCAGACCCTGTGTACTGGTTGTTGGGGGGGGGCTGGTCTCTTTCTCGTCCCACTTTGCTGCTTCCAGACTTTTACTTCCCCCACCCCTGCAGCTCCACCACCCTCCCCGCTTCCCTGCTGACTTCTGCCTGGACCCTTGGTTACTCATGCCCATTCCTGAGCACCTGGCTCCCAGTTAAGCCCCACCCCCACAAAGTCCACCATCATCTTGGGTGACACCAGTGTCCACGTGGACGGCCCATACAGCATTCTGACTTCTGTTTCTCGACCTCATCTCCAACAACACTTCCTCCATCCGTCTCAGACACCCAGCATCATGGTCACCCTTTGGATCTGGTCGTGCGTGGCAGAGCCTGGCTAGTTGTTTACCAAGTCATTTTCCTTCTCCCTCTAGGCCCACAGCTACATGACATTCCTAGCCCCGTCGGCAGAAGTGATGAGCACCACATGCTAGTCTGGCCCACAAAACCCACTCTTGCATGATTCTCTCTCTTCCTGCATCTGCCAGCTGGATGTAGAGTTTAGTGGAGGACTCTGGGCCATGGAACGTGGCAGAGTCATAAGCTAGAGAAGCCTGAGTCCCTGAATCTGCTGAGAGGAGAGCTGCCAGGGGCTGCCGACAAGGCTCTTCGCGAATGAAGGACCTGGGCTCTGCACTCACTAGATGCGTGATCTTAGACAAGCGACTACTACACTGTTTTCAACCAGTTTCCCCACCTGTGATACAGAGATGGTAACATCTAGTTTGTGCAGTCTTAGGAGATCAAACACATGTGTAAAGAATCTAGCCCAAGTTTGATGCTTAAGATACTAAAGTGAAGAGCTTTGTAGGACCACCTGGTGCCTCGAGTTTCTCACTGATGAAGTGCTAGACCCATATTTCAGTGATGTAAGATTTCACAATTCCAACATCCAGGGATACGAACCGTAGCTGCAGGAAACTTGTAAGTCAGCAATTATTCGGAGAATGTTGTTCATCTGATTGGATCTTTGTTCGTTTTCCATGATGCTGCCTGAGGCAGGATATGCAGAATCAATGTAGATTAAATCCAGAAGATAGATCCCTAAAATTAAAGAAGATATTTAATGATGGTAGGTGTTGACCATTAATCAGAACAAGATAGCACAAGACAGAACTGCTCTGCTAGAAGGCATAGGGTGACTTATGGCAAAATGAGATACTACTTGGAATTCAATTCCAATCCTGCCTACTAATTTTTCACACAGACTGCTCAACTGTAAACCAAACATCTGAGCAACGACCTAAATGAACACTGGCAAGATTTTAGCATTTTGAGTTCATACCCTCTCCAGCAATAAGGGTTTTTACCTGTAACCCAACTGGAAAATAACAGGACAGGAAAGGGATGAATGAATACTTGTGTTCTTCACCAGCCACTGCAGCTTAATAGGTCTAAGGTGTCATGTCCAGGAGAACACCATTTGGATTGAATTCGGTTTTTCATTTATTCACCTAGCTGTGTGTCTATTTATTCATCTATCTGTACACACACATACAACCCAAATCATAAATTAAGGGACAAAAGAAGAAATCAAAAAGCACTTTGTACCAACAGTCCTTGGTACAAAGAACTAAGGCTAGACAGAGAATTCTCCTGAGGGTGCTTAATTACAAAATAACATGTGTCATAATAACATCACTGTGATAGGTCAGTGTGGAGCCTCGGCATGGCCTCATGGCCTCACCTCGAGGGGAATTCAGGACAAGCCACCTGGCCAGGGATGGGAGAAGAGGACTGGCTGTGCAGTGTGGTCCACTGCCCAGCTCTCAGCTGTCAGGCTTGCTGCAGGGCCGCACTTTAGTCTCTCTGGAGATGTGCATGGACAATGGATGGTGTGTCCTTCCAGTAGCCCCCCATGAGTACTGCCACTACACCCGTAATATTGGTGGACTTGAGCAGAAGTGGTGATATAAAGCAGAATTCAAGGCAAAAAAACACTGAACAAGGCAAAGAGGAGTGACTGATGTTAATGAGAGATATAGCTGATGGAGAAGATTTAATGGATACAGATTTCTGTGCACAAAGCAACACTGCAACAAAATATACAAAGCAAAAGAATGCCAAAAATGAAAAGCAGATTCAACAAAGCCACAACCATAGAGGGAGCCTTTGGTATGTCGCCTCTAAAATTTGTGTGTGTGTGCACACATGTGTGTACATACAAAATATACACACATACATACGTACATCTACAGATGTGCATATATATGTGTCCATATATGACTATGGTATTTAATAACAAAATTAACAACCTTGCTGTAATTTGAACAAAAATATAATTCTCTTCAAATACTCATAGAATGTTTACAAAAATTGATTATATACTAGACTGTAAAGAAAAGCTCAATACGTTCTAAAAGTAAATGCCATTTTATCTACACTCTTTTACCTTACATTACACCTAGGATTTAACAATAAATACAGTAAAAATTCTAAACATTTGTTAAACACACACATATACATGGGCACACACACTCACGGGAACTCTTGGATCAAAGAAAAAACAAAAAAAATCTAAAATAAAAAATTTATTCAAAGACAATGACAATAAGAACTCTACATATCAAAATTTATGAGATTGGACCAAAGTGGTAATCAGAGGAAAATTTATAGCCTTAAAATCTTACTATTAAACTACTAAGAATTATTACAAATGTAATTAACCAGGTACCTAATATTAAAGTTGTGGATTTTTTTGCACAGCCGGACGAGCACTGCACTGACTTATACATTCGTTATGTTATCTGTCCTTGTAAAACCCATTTTACAGAGGAGGAAACGGGAGTGTAGAGAGGATGTGCAACTCACTCCAGGTCACAGGGCTGGTAAGTGATGGAGGTGTGGGCTGATCCCAAGCCTGCCTCCCCAGAGTACATGCTTCCTGCCACTGCAGTGGGCTGCTGATGCTGGATACCATGAGTCATTCGTCTGCTTTTAAAATAGCTACACATTTTACGGGAAACCATTAAATCACAGAAACATATGCTAGCACTTCTCATAGGAATCAGTTCCACTTCCTTTCTTTCTAGTGGTACCATGTTTCCAAAATTTTTTAAATTAGAAATCATTTCCTTTGTATAGAAGCTCTAGGATTGTAAGGTTTAAATCCAGATTTATTTTTTCTCTTGACCTTGTTTTTTTCCTCTCCTGTCTTAAAAATGTTACTCAGTTACCTCCCCAAGGATTCAGCAACAGCAATCCTGAAAACCCCATTAATGCTTCAACCACAACAAAGAGTATCCCCTAGTTCTGACCACAAGGGGACGGGATAAGGGACATGAGGGAGCTTTGCTCCAGGTGCAAACATTGTGTCGACCTGAACCCAGCTGACTCAGTGGCAGAGTGAACGCTCCTCCGCCCGGGAGCAGAGACACCAAGGAGTAGAATGTGAGAAAAGGGAGAGAACTGATGCTTCCCGAGGATTTAGTACAAGACGGGAACCTCCTTCTCTCCTGGGATCCTCCCACTGGCCCCGTGGTGAGAGTTGAGGATAAAACTAAAGCTCAGAGAGATTACGAAACCTGCCTGAGGCCTCAGGGTGCATGTGCTGGATTTGAACCCAGGTCTGTCTGGATCTAGCGCCTGTGTTCTGACTCACTCACCCGTCATCAGAAACACACGAGAAGTCAGTCACGTTTTCTCAGATGAGACCCTTGGCAGGGAAGGCTCACCCTCTGCCGCCCTGTGAGGACCAGGGCTGGCCTGTCTGCTTCCTCTCAGGTCCTGGCTCTGAGAACAGAGGCCAGGAGAAGCTCGCCTTCAAAGGGGCCGGGACGCCATTGCCTCCCCAGCCCCGGCTTGTTCCCCGGAGGCATGGGGAGCTCACTACTTCGTAAGAGCAAACTCCACTGTCAGAGTGTTCATCACCCCCTCCGCAAAACACCCACCTACTTCCCCAACCTGAGAGTACAGGCCAAGGCCTCCACATGCTGAGGACCAAGGGGACCCCTGAAAGGGGCCTCCTGGCCCCAGCGGCCTGGGCAGAACTTGAGCCTCGGCAACACCCAGACAGAACCTCCACGTGGACAGCCTTTCACTCAAACACAAACTGCTCCCAAAGCAGAGAATCGTCCACAGTTAACACTGCACAAATCCAGGGAAATCGTCTCAGTATTGTCCCTAACCCACAACTGGAAATATTTAGAAACCGTAATGGAACCATGAGTGCAGCCACCACCCACTTGTACGGTGCCAGTGCTGTGCTAAGCCCGACACACAGCGAGCGCTCACAGCCACAATGAGATACTTATCAGTCTGACTGGTGTCTGATTCCCTCACGAGACTCAAAATCTCTCTGAGTAGGAGGTGTGTCTGGCTCTGTGAGCTCAACCCCCCGCTGTGGAACGGCGCGCACAGGGGCTGCGTGGGGAATGGTAGCTTAAAGAAGGGATGTGTGGACGGACTTTAACCCACAAGATAACCTTATGAAGTACATCACTCCCCTGGTTCTGAGGCTGAAGGAAGACACAGAGTCGAATGATGATAACAGCAGTAAGACTGAACGCTGACCCTGCACCCTTAAACCAAGAGCTCGGCCCAGTTCACTGATTCGCAACAACCATGCTGTTGTCAGGGTGGCTTTCCCTCTATTTCACAGAGGAAGAAACTGAAGCTGAGACAGCCACATTGCCTTGTCTGAGGTCGCACAGCTGGGAAGTGGCGGAGGCAGGATTCGAACCCAGGTCGGTGCAGGCTGCCACACTGTCAGTCCTTCTTTTACCCCAGCCAAGTCCTCGGAGCTAGGCACCTGGTGAGGCAGAAGGGGGCACAGACAAACCTGGAGGCATCCAGGCTCTGGCTCTCCCTGCCCGATCTCCCCTTGGGGGCAACGCTCTCCGGGAGAGCTGATGTCTCTATGGTGGCCACCTCCCCCTGCTGCACCTTCCACCTCCTCCCCGCTGCCTCCCCGGCCCCCATCAGGACACAGCCATCCCATCGTCAGTGGGCCAACCAGCTCAGCCATGTGACAAGCAGCTGTGGTGTCAGTGGGAGAGTGTGGGGCTTGGAGCCAGCAGACGTGGAACCCTGGCTCTGCCACTTACCAGCTGGGTGGCCTCAGACAAGCCTTCTCACCTCCCGGGGCCTGAGTGTCCTTGGCTGTGACTCGGGGTAATGACGGTCGTTGTGAGGAGTCTCCTTGGGCCTAGACCACTGAGGTGCTCAAGAAGCTGAGCTGACCCTGAGCCTGGCTCCACAGCGAGGCCCCACATGGAGCAGAATCGGGATGCCCACGGGAAAGATGCACCCAGCTGGGTTTGCCACGACCATGGATGGCGCCCAGATGCTGACCACGTGGTGGCCACCCACCTCAGACAATCAGCTCTGGGTGCTTCTGTCTGGCCTGGGACAGCACAGCTGGGACGCCTCAGCTCCTTTCCTATTTATACCGAGTTACTGCAGCAGATGACACTGTGTTGTTGGCCTTGTTAAGATGGACAGTAATTGGACTAGCCACTGGCCCTGGCTGCCATGAGGCTGAGCTGTGCCAGGGACTGGGGCGGGACTGGGGCTGGACCGGGGCTAGACTGGGAGGTGCAGACGCGTTGGAGGAAACAACCGTAATGGTAACGGCCGCCGTCTGGGGCAGGCGAGGCTGGCCTTGCTGGTATCGCAGCATCCTCGCAGCAACGGGCACAGCACAGGAGGTATTCTCACCTCTTCATTTACAGATCAGGCAACAGAAGCTTGGTGAGTAAAGTGACTTGTTCAAGATCACGCAGCTTGCAAGTTGGGGAATCAAGATTTGAATTCAGGCCTGCCTGACTCCAAAGATTTGGGACAGAGAGCAGTGCTGCAAGCTGAGGGGCTGGGAGTCATTGGCTGGCCCAGGGGCAATGGTCCCAGTCCCAGAGTTGGGGCTGCGAGGACCCCTTCTGAGGCTCGCCACCCACCTGAGGACGCTGTTGGCAGCCTGTGTCTACCCAGTGGCTCGCTTGTCTGCAGACTCAACCTTCTCTGAGATGGACAGCTACCCAGAACAGACTCTGCTCCCTCTGTCCATGTCCCCCACAGGGCCTCGTGACACTGCTATGGCTGCAACC